CTTAGCCTTTTGTGCCTCAAATTCCCTCAGTGCAAAATGGGGCACAGATCCACCTACCAGGGTTATGCGACTGAAATGAGCTATGTGTCTGACCGACACCACCCACTCAGGTGTACCTGTGATGGGTGTCAGACTTTGCATGCTTTATGTATTTTGCCCTAGCATCCTTGCAACTACACTACCAGGTGTTATTCTGGTTCTGCAGATCAGCCTGAGAAAGGCCACAGGCCGTGTGGGCAGGGGCCGCCTCTTGTACGAGTTTTGTGGAGGTGTCCAAGGTACAATTAAGTTCCCATGTAACCAATATGACCTGACTCCAGCATGCTGGCAGTAAGAAGCATTAAATACTATCCTTTACTGACTGCCCATGTAGCTTTGAGATAAGAAGAGTGGCGAGGTGGCTCAGATCAGGTCACCAGGTAGCACTCAAGGCACTTAGCAGGACTTTTGGAGGCGGTGGGCGAGTTACTGCTTCTGTGTGACAGTCACTTTTGCCTTCAGTGTTTTTATTTTTTTGGGGGGGGGTGGTTGGTTGAAGGCTTCTTGGGATGATGTATATGTGAGTATCAGTGCTCTGTAGCATCAGCAGCTACTTGTCCTTTCTGCTTGCATCACTTTTTCCCCCTCGATACTGGGGCTTGAATTCAGGGTCTTGCACTTGCTAGTTGAGTGCTTTTTTTAGGTGGTTCTGAGGTTTGAACTCAGGACTTCTTGAGTTTGCTAGATAGCCACTTCACCCATGAGCCATGCCCCCAGCCCTTTTTGCTTTCCTTTTTGAATACAGTCTCATGTTTTTGCTTGGGTGAGCCTATATGGTGAGCCTCCTATCTATGACTCCCATCTAGATGGGACTACAGACGCATATCACAGCACTAGGCTTATTGGTTGAGATGGGAGTCTCACTAACTTTTGTCTGGGCTGACCTCAAACCACAATCCTCTTGACTTCCACCTGCCAAGCAGCTGGGATTACAGATGTGTCACCACTCCCAGTCTTCTTGAGTCTTAATGGAATATTCATACACATGAATAAAAAAAAAACTTTGTAAGGTCAGTGCCCCAATGGAGGGCATTTGTGCATGTTTAAAACCTTCAATGTAGGCAAGTAATGGTGCTCCTTGAGTTTACGACAAATTTAAGACATGCTTAAAGCTTAGTTCTGAAAGTTCAAAGTTGTCCTGTTTCTGGAGTTTTCTCCATCCTGTTTTCAAGTCTTCCAACAGTCACTGAAGAGAGACATCCCACTTGACTAGGACATGGTCCATGTGGCAGGCTTGCCCACAACCTGGCCCAGGCCTCTCTTGGCAATATGAGGCCATGTGAGTTGTTGCATCCATGGGTTCCTATGGCTTTATACAGTTTCAAAGTCTGCACTGGGCTCAGCACAGAAGCAGCTACGGAGGCAGCAATGGAACAGGGAGTGAGCAACCGTTAATCCTAAATTGGAGCCCAGCCTTCCTCATCGTGTGCCTGAGGTACTTCATCTCCCTGACCTTGAATTCCTAACTTGTAAAACACAGGAAGCTCCCATCCCCTTCAAAGTTGTGATGCCCAAATGACACAGACGGAAAGTGCGAAGGAAACCATGCGATACCACCCATGTCTGGAGATGTTCAGATGCAAACACAATGGCCCAAAGAGGAGACTGCTCAGATTGCCGTCATAGTCAGCTGCTGGCATTCTTTAAGGCCTGGGGCACAGGCTGACAATCCCAAATGTTTTCTCTCTTAATTTTCTCTAAATTAGGAGATAACATCTCCTAAAGTAGAAAATAACATCTGCTTGCTTGCACTGTCCTCATCTCCCACCAGGTGGCACTGCTTTCCGATGAGCAATTCCTTCGACGGACTGGTCCAGAGCATTTTAAGTGTGGATCAAATTGGAGCTGCAAGAGAAAGAAGAAAAGCAATGAAGAACCATGCAAGCTCCACCTTACCCCACGCACCCCCCAATTCCAAATTGCAAAACAGGATTTGGGGATTAAGATCTTCTGGTGACCCTGGCCTGCCAGTCACTGCAGATGGACGTGCGGCTGTAGGAGGGCGGGGTCTCTGAACCCCACGTGGTGTGCATATGTAGCACTTCCCAGAATAGAAAGAGCCTAACACCCTGTGCTCCCAAGACTGAAGAAAGCGTGTGTGCACGCAGAAAGTTCAGGCAGCATGTACCCATGTGCCTATCCAGAGCGCTTATGTTTTTCAAGAGAACAGTGTTGTAAGGATTATGCAAATTTCTCTGTGATTTGGCAAAAAGGTTCTTTTTGCATGTGCAGGCACAATAGCAGTGCTTTGAATGCAGTGATAACATAAAAACATTGATGTAGGTTGACATTGGGAACCCACACTGTGCAACTCAACGAAGTAATGGGATCCTGGAAAAGACAGGGCTGCCTAACACGGCCTTCCCTCTCTCTGCTCAGGATCATGTTGAAGGTTAACAGCACTGCAGCTGAAACACACCCTCTGCCCCAGCCACACCTGCTGCTCAGCTCTGGGACCAAGAGCCCTTCCTTCTCACCACAGCTGGCCTCGCCCCTGAGGAGAAAGGGAGACAAGGGTACAGTGACCACATTTCAAGTTAGAGCACCAGTCCCCTCACTCTATCCCCCACACCTCCAAACCCCTTTATGAAAATGAGCCCTTTTTGTGGAGTGGGATGGGGGCGGTCAGCATTTGCTTTCTTCTTTTGAAATGGAGTACTGGAAGGGTCATGGACTTGACTACTGTCAGCTTGCTCCGTATGATTTCATTCCCTCAACCTTAGGATGCTTTTATCCTCAGTGAGTAGAACTGAAAAAAGGTGTCTCCCAAGCTCACACAGATGCTGTACTAGATGCTTCCTGTTGAAACAAGAGACATTACACTGTTTTAATCTCGCTGGAGTCTTCTCAAAAAAACTTGACTTCCAAGCACTTATATAAAAAACTAAATGTGGATTTTCTGTGTATATGACTTATTTTACTTTGTATCACAGAGTCTTTTGAGGGTTGGGAATATTTGTCACTGCATGGAGTAAACTAACCCTGTGCTACTGAAGAACTGTTTGCGAGGTCCCTCATCATCCAAAGAACTGTCACCTTCAGTCCTATTCTATCCCATTCTGCCCATCTCTTAGAATCATAATCCTCTCATCAAAACTGAATTCAAGTAGCATCTGAGCAGCTTCTTGGCTGCCGTTTCACCAACACAACCATGATTTGAAATGAACTTTCATTTTATAGAAATTGAAAGGTCCAAGGTTCCTTCTCCTTATCTCATCCATCCTTTTCTAAACTGGCTTCGCTAGGTCAGTTCTTACTCTTAGACCTTTCCCACTGCCAACACCTCACGGCAAGGCCCTCATTGGTCTTAAAACTTCAAATGCCATAGTCAACATGTTTTTCCTCTATTTAAAACTTAGTAACTTATTTTTCAGTCAACTCCAAATTCTGAGTTTTATCTATCGCACCCACAAATTCCCCAACTCCCATGTCTTTTAAAATACCCCTCTTACTGCCATTTCTGGCCACTACACATTTTCTGTCTACATCCCTTCCCCACGTGGTGTCCATCAACCCTGCCCCCACTGAGTCCGGCCTCTAGGCTCATCTCCCCCACGGGACTGTATACCATCTTCTGGGGGCACATCTCTGACTTTGTCTTCCACAGCTCTGTGACATCTTCTTGGAAGGGTGTCAGGATATGGGTTCAGGGATCTGCAGGTATGTGTAAATCATGTGGAAAACAATTCCGCCGATCTTGGAAAACTGTCTGAAGTCCCACATGCAGGACTCCTACGTGTTAAGTGCTATAGATACACATCCTAGCGAACTCTTGCACAGAAGACTATACAAAAATGTTCCTGGAAGCCATGTTTGTAAAACAGAGGGGGACAGGGGGAGGGAGGGAAGACCAGGAGACAGACTGAGGGAGAGGGAGACAGACAGAGAGCAAGACAGGAACAACAAGTATTCAAATGTCTGCTGAGAGAATACCGGGTAAATCAGTCTTCTCCACACTAGAAAATATTTTAAGGTATGAAAATGAGTAAGGTTCAGGACCATAAAATCAGATGAGTAGAGGCAGTCCCAGAAGACTAGGTACAAAAGGATACCCTTTTTGTAAAATTTAAGAAAAGCAAAACTAAGCTGTTATTTATGGAGGATGTAAAAGGTAAGAAAACAGAAAAAGCAAAGGGTAATGTAATTTACAGCAGGTGCAAGTTGGTGGTGGGGAGGAGGAAGATGGGACAGACGTGGACTACAGGTAGTAACACCCGAGATGTTCTGGCTAATATGAAGGTGGGTTCATGATTCACAGGTGTTACACACAGATGCATATTTTCTGGCTAACCTGGGAAGTTGGTGTCTATAAATAATCACAGACTCTAAAATCATCTCAAATGCACTGTTCACAGAGGGAACACTCATTAGATGACTCCAGACAATAATCCAGTGCTCATGGGCCTGGCACTTCTGTGTGTCCATCACTGTGCTGAGTGCTGGGGAAGAGGACACTACTAGAAGGGTCATTGCAGAACAACAGTGCACAGGCTGCCATCAGTATCTCAGAAATTACTGATGGTTTAAAGACCTTGACTTGAGACTGGTTTATAGAAGACAGAACCAATGATATGATATTAAAGATACTCAATATTGAACCAAGATAGTTTTCTGGCTGAAAAAAAAAATCAAATTTGAGAAGTAAATTAGGTCCTTTACACTTTTGGCAAGGGAAGTCCTAAACCAGAACTCTTAAGCTCCAGGCTGACAGGAACTTGGTCCTGTTTACCAATGTGCCCCTGGTGTACAGTGTGTGCTCAACAGACAAAGAAACAAAGCATCCTGTCTTATAGTGGTCACCTGTGTGGAAGGGGAACACTAAAGAATGACTTTAGGACTCACTGCCCAAGTCACAGGGAAATAGAATGATTCTTTAAATAAATAAATAAAACCATGATGTATAATATCCTTTCATTTTTACAAAATTTTCAATAAAGCACAATTCTTAAGCTGTTTTTCATTTTTTTTATTGCTGTTAATTCAAGGAAAAAGGTTGCATAAAATCCAATCTGTTCTAGAAATATAAGTGGCCTTTCCAGTACATAACATTTCAAATATCAAAGTATATGGTAAACATACAAATAAGGAGAAGGTAACACACCTCCTATGTACAGTACAGTATTTTAAATCATAAAACAAGCTCCATAAAGTACAACTGGCAAGTGATTCACGACGCGCTCACACGTGGCTTATCAACACTCTCACCTGAACAACTCAACTGCAGCTTAACAATTAATTAATAATGTGCTCCAAAAATACCCAGATCAAATAAAATATAATATTTAATCAAAATAATTTCCTTTACTCGAATTTTTCTTTCTAAATTAAAGCTTTCATCTACCCCTTCACACCCCTTTCCCTTCCCCAGAACTCCCACCCCTGAAAGTTTCAAAATGTACATTGGTGCTATAAATATAAATGCTACTTCTGAAGCATTAAACTAAGCTTCTTTTCTCTTCAAGTTTTTCCTTTTGTCTAGCAATGTCAGGCTTCTGAACCAACACCATATATTAAGTTCCTCTGCTGCACACCAACATTACTACCCCATGACAAAAAGCTATCATTTCTGCTCTGTGCTGAGGAATGGGGAAAAACCCTCACCCTTAAACTTATGACTACAGTGGTAGCTGTTCATTGCTGTTGAATGCAGCAGTCACCAAAAAATAAACTCAATCTTCCAGATAACTTCAGTGCACTTTAGGAAATCAAATTACCTGGAAGCAATTTAGTACATAGATTGGCTTTTAAAAAAACTTTTTTTTTTTTAAACAGCAGCATTAAACTTTAGTGACATGACACTGACATGATTAACACCATCTTAACACACTCAGAATTCAGTCTTTCACATTATAATCAAGCATAGTGGTAAACAGTTATAAAAGTGACTTTGCTACAAGAGACAAGTTAGGGAACAAATACCTGACGTTTTGTAGAAACCCATAGCTTCTGTTCAGATTGCAACAAAGCACACATATTTAAACACAACATAACACTGTAACAGTTGGTATAGCAAAAGAAGAAATCTTTACTCAAGTTGTGTCTTTGACCAGGACACTGTGGTAGATGACAGGTTGAACTGGCTGTCTCCTTTCACCACAAACACAAGCACACAGAGAACATTCACACCAGTGTGTTTATTTTGTGTCTCTCTGAAGCAACAGGCTAGAAAGGTATGATAGAAGGAAAAAGTTGTTTTCTTTTCTGAAAAACCTTTTTGTCCATTTCAAATGTCATTTTTTTTCAGCTTCATATGGTTTGACTTCTTCCTCTCTCTCCACTTACTTTCCTGTTTATTTGACAATAAGCACTGCATATATGTATTTGCATGATGCTTTTATTACATATATACATACTATCTTGGGAATTTGACTTCTCCCGAAGGACTAGGGTGAAACATTTTGCCCTTGGTTTATATGTAGAGCAGTTTACACAAGTGCAGACAAGTACACTGCTGGGCACTCCTGCCGAGAGACAGGGAAAGGGTGAGAGTGGCTGTCAGAAAAATGTAGTTTAGGGTGAAAGTGAGAAAAGCTAGGGAAGAAGCAAAGTTATTGGGTTTTTTTTTTTTTCCCCAAAACCATATGACTGTCACCAGTGTTGTAAAAAAGGTCAAATACACAGTTTTAAAGATTCAGTAAACATTACACACAGCAAGTATTCAGTGTAAAAAAAAAAAGCACGCATCAACATTTTCCTTTTTGATAAGTTTGTCAGGAAGTTTAAGTTACATGTATCACACATATAAGCCTGTTGTTGAACCAGGAGACCAGAGGCTCAGAAGCATTTCATTCTTTCTTATTTTGGACATTGGTACAAGAGAAATGAAAACTCCCAACTGCATAGAAGTTTAGGAAATGTATAGACAAAGAAACAAACAAAATACCTTTCCTTTCCTCCCCTCCATACCCCATGACTCCCCACACTTGAGTGTATTAAGTAGGCAAGCTTTACTTGTTTCAGTCTGCAGAATCCAACGTATCATTAGAAGGGGGGAGGGGAGGTGCGTATCTCAGTCTGTAAGTGCCTAAAATGGGAAAGACAGAATGGCTAAGTCACCGCTTACAATGACACTCATCACAAACCACTACAGATATCAAATGGGCATGCTCTTCAGAAGGCACCTTCCTTAACACTAATGCTACTCAAAATGGCAAATAAAGTTACTTTAAAAAAAAAAAAGTAGTAACAAGTTTGTGCTTTAAGTCCAACCTAAAGCTATCAAACTTGATTTTCCTTTAAGAATGCTACGTCAATACACTCCAAATTCAAGACTTTATTTTCTGGGTAAGATTTGGCAGAATGTCAAAGTTCAAATTCAAGTGAAACAGAAGAGTTTGAGGTCATCACTGAGTTTTGTACCTCACTTATACTTATGTAAGTGCATTTTCTTCTTTCTGGTGGTAATAATATTAAACTTAGCTCAAATTCCCTTATTCCCAAACCACTGTTCCTGTAAAATAATAATAGAATCTTGGGCTTTTTTCTCCTTACACATTTGTCAGGAAGGAAAAGGGCAACAAGGGCATATGTGTGAAGCCTGCTGATTACACAAAGACACATAACCAGTTGTTAAAAACCTTGCTTGTCAAATAACTAGCTTCTTTTCTAGTTTTCAATATTTGAAGTCTGCTTATTCTCTCTAGTTTTTTTTTAAAGTGCTGTAAGCAAGAGACTTAACATTATATAATTCAAATCTCCATATTTCTTGAAAAGTGCCTTGAGAATTTATTCCTTAACTGGAAATCAAAATTCCTCTGACCTGCCTTGTGCTATGTGTGACCTGGGTCTACATTAGGTTTTTCTGGCTGCATTTTATGATTTGTCACTGAAAACACAGTTATCTGTAAACAAACACACAAATGGATTTTTCTGCTATGACAGAATAGCATGATCAAAAGGAAAGGAAGTAAACAGGTGAACTCAAAAACAAGTCCTCTGGGAGTTACTGTGATTACCTTGTTGACTGGCCTCCATGGATGACTGCTTACAGTCCTGGGCATAGTGTCCGCTCACACCACAATTGTAACATGAGACATTCCCATTCTTCTTGGGCCCCGAACCACTTGTATTGGCAACTACATTAGGTGCTGGATATACAGGATAGAATCTCCCAAATCCTGCCATCTGTTGCATGCCATAGTTGGCTTGGCTCCCCATGACTGGGTCATGTACCAGTCCATTTGCATATGGAGTCTGAGGCAGAAAAAAAGGAAGTTGGTTTCCATTGCTCTGATGTGCTTGGTTGAGGTAGCTGCCATTGCAAATGGATGGCAGAGTGAAGAAGGATGGGACGCGGTACATTGGTCCAGGCATTGGATTGGGGTAATAGTAACTGTTTAGCTGAAGGTTTCCATTGGTCCCACAGCTGCACCTTCGCCCACAAGAACCACAAGGACCTGAGCCCATCTGCTGTGGTGGCACTATTGTCCCATTAGCGTTCGTATTCCCCACAGCACTGATATAAGATGTGCTGTCGCTCTGTGCAGTGCTGTGTGTTAAAGCGGGGCTTGGGCTTGGGGCAGGGCCTGGGGTATGGGTAGGAACTGCAGGAGGAACACTGGACTGGGCCTGACTAATTCCTGCACTTGCTGGTTGGGCAGAAGTGGCTGCTGTGTTGAGCACACTGGAATTCTGGGTGGGTAACACACTGGCAGCAAGGGGAGAGCCTGGTAAAGTATAGGAAGCTGGTGGCTGTGTAGCTGAGAGGCCAGCTGCTGGAAGAACTACCTTCACATTGGTAGGCTGAGGGACTGTCCCTGTGTTTCCCTCAATTTGAGGCACCATTTGATTTAGTCCTACCACCTGGGAAGCAGATTTTGTGATGGGGTCCGTGGTAGCCACAGGAGGTCCTGGGAAGCTACCTGGGTTATGGACAGGAATAAAGGCAGTGTTTGGTGATCCGATACTTAGGCTTCCGGTGGGTTGTTGTGGGATATTAACGGTGCAACTCTCAGAAGATCCCTGTGGTGGCAATTTTAACCTCTGAAATGTTAGGTGCAAAGCAGGAGTACTACTATGTGGAAGGAAGGTTGATGGAATAGGAAGAGGGGAAGCCAGCAATTCAAAGTGTTTTTCTGATTCTCCAGTAGAGGCTGTTGGCCCTAGAATTCCAACAGGGGTTGAGTTTGTGGACTCCCTTATTGCAGAAATAGCAACAGGACTAGGAACAAGCATCCCTATTGTTTTGCCATCTGCAGATTTGGGTGGAGGAATGACAACTTCAGACTTCTGGGCACCATTGTGCATGACACAGTGTAAAGTTGGCATAAAAGGAATATGTGGATACTTGGGTGAGTTCAAGGGCTCTTCTAAAAGGTTTCCATTCTCATTTCCTAGTGAAGAAATATGAACAGGCGGCTTGACAGTGACAGTCTGGTTGACAGAACAATAACCTGTAAACCTGGTTGTCGATGGATTTCCAGAATCCTCTGAATTGCTATCAGTGTCTAAAGAAAACAGATATAAATAGATATTAACCCAAGCTGAATTCTCTCATCTTTCTTGCTAGAAATAAAGTTTAAGTATACCTAAAATCAACTCAAAAGTTTGGATGTATCCTTCTATCACTAACTGCTCAAGTTGACCTTCTTTTGCATTATGTGCATGCTTTGTTTCAAAAATATGGGGACATAAACAGTAACAAAAAGTTATTTGGAGACTGAATGAAGCATAGTATAAACACAGACATTCACTGAATACTACCTTATTACTGAGAAAAGCATTAGATTGCATTAACCTTAATCACTTTTAGGCAATCTACTTAATTTTAACACTGTCAAACCCCCAATCTTCAATTTGTCTCAGATAAATGACATAATTTAAAGGAGCTCAATCAAGACAATATTTAACCCAAATATCTAAAGAGAAGGAATGGAAGAGTTTTTTTTAAAGAATGGAGTAAATATCTGTTCTACTATATAGGTTAATGGGAGGGAAAGAAAATTTTAAACTACAATTAATCATAAAATCAAACTCTAGAGCACAAGAAGCAAGGCAAGTATGAAAGCATTTCCTTTTCTTCAAAATTAAAACAGTAGATAGAAAACTATATTGCATTTGTTTAATTCATTACTCATGCATACATATAGAAATAACTTCAGTCTAGACTTCTGATTTCCAAACTTTCATATAAAGGCAGCAAAGGATCATATCTAATTCACAATGTTAGGCATTATAAACACAGGCACTGCATTGATGTGTACACAAACAATCTCAATTAAATGTAGCAACTATTTAAAAATCCTTCTGCTCATAAATATAAGCTGAATTATACTACCTAAAGTACTTGTATTTATTAAGGTAGGAGCTAGTCATATTCAGCTTAAGATGTTAAAAAATTATGAAACTATACTAAAAACAAAAATTAGTCTGCCTAAGAAAAGTTAAATGGAATCTACTAATGACAGAGAATGTCAACGGTGCTAAGTGAACTATTTGAATTTATATTATGGAGAAGAGGTTCAATCAAGAGAATAGTTCTAGCACAAACTTCCCTTAAAAAATTAATAATTGGGGAATTTCCTACTAAATGTTGCAAAACAAAGAGTATCCCCAAATCAATAGCCTATTTGAGGCACTTATATCTGAACCTTCCCATCAGTACAGAGTTGAGGGCAAACATAAAATCAAAAAGAATATTTTTCATAGTCATTGTAAGGATTCATCTACATATCAGGTCTTGTCCTTTTTTTGTACTGACTTTGGGAAGCATAAGTCTTAGACAAAACACCATTATAACCACCACCACCACCAACAAAGCCACATGTTTTTCAAAGCAACCTTTGTGTGCACTCAAAATTCTGAAAACAAAGCTTTCTATTATAATGTGTATTTCCCTGGTTTGAGAGAGGCCTAAGTGACTCTTCTAAAGAAGGATTTTCATTTGTTAATAACTGAGCTTATATGAAAAAAAAAGGCAAGTTCCTCTACACATGCCAATCAACTTATGCTATCTGATGACAGGAAAGGGATGCCACAAGTTATCCAAGTATGTGACAACCAGGTCAAATCTGCAGGGTGAGCTGAAGATTTCAGAATTATTTATACCTCCTATAGAATCAAGCATAATACATATTAAAGATACTGAAAGCTTGTCTATTCTGGGTAAGGCATAAAAATTCTCTCAAGCTTCATTATAGCTCTGAGAGGTTATTTTCATTTTTATCTTTTGTAAGGAAACTGCAGAGCAGAAATGCAGTGTTGCCTCAGATCAGAAGAATTGGTGGTAGAATCACTGCATGCTACAAAACAACGGCAAAGTAAAGGCTAACTCCAATTGTTTCCAAAGTAACAGCACTACTGCATAGCTTCCTAAGACATGACCTGACAGGGTAACACAGAAGCTAAGGTCCCAGAGAGCTGCAGACTGTCCAGCAAGGAACCACACTGGCTGAAATGATGTGGCCTAAGGATCTCTACAGAGAAATCACTTGACACTGCACAGCATGGGTACCCCTTATGATCAAGACATTAATAATCATCTGTCAGCATGTGTGAGGAAAACATTTTTGTTCAACATATGCCTTTTCAAGATCTCACTTTCAGAGAAGAATGGAACAAGGACTCTCCAATGACCCACCATTCATAAAATCAACAAGATCCACAACAAAAACTGTCAAAATCAACTTTCTCAGAACTGTGGAAATTAACTAAAAGCTTGATACAATCTGAACAGAGTTTAAGAAATACAGCTAAATCTCATAAAAACAGAAATTTATGGCCTTTTACTGTGCCCTACCCTAATCCCATCTCCCTTTCTCCTGCTCTGATGTAGTCCTGTAGACAAACAGTCCTTCAAATATGGCAGCTAGAAAGAGTATTGATTTGGAATTCTCCCAAAAAAAGACTGTCACTATGTGACCTTTTGGCAGCTCATACTCACTCTGCATTAATGGTTTCTTATTCAGAGAACATCTGTTACAATCAGTGGCAAGTATTTAATAACATGAGGCTGACCAAAATTCTTAAAATGAAAAACTAGGGAATGAGATGTCCACAAGGGACTTTGAAAAGCTTTCATGTATTACTGGGAATCTGAACACTGTGTTCAATGCCTCAGCTCTGGGCATTTCCGAGTTCTCACAATTGGCTGAACTTAGCCTTTCTGCTAGGAGGAACTGAAGATGTAAGACACACAGGAAACAAACATCAAATGGCAGATGTAAATCTCATCTTATTAGTATTACATTAAATGTAAATGGATTAAACACTCAAATCAAAGGGTAGATAGAGATGGGCAAACTGGACACAAAAGTCAGGATATAACGATATTTTATCATCAAGAGATACATTTCAGATTTAACACACAAATAGGTCTGAACTAAAAAGAGTAGTACCATGCAGGTAGTACTCCAAAAAGAGCTGGAGTGGGCCATATTATATTATCAGACAAAAGAGACTATGACAAATATTGTTACTAGAAACAAAGAAGGATATCTTATAATGATGAAAAGGCCAATCAGGAAGACATAAGAGTATAAACATGTATGCATCTAGCTAATGCACACAATCTTAATCTTTATATACTAACTACATTTTGTTATGATCTTGGTTTTAATTTCATATGCAATGAAATAAGCTTATAAATTCAATATTGCTAGAAACTGCTAAGGCAATTGTCTTTAGAATACCCTTTACAATAAATTTAAAATTAGTAATGGGGTTTATGGGAACATAAAATTCTTTGTTTGGGTTTGATTTTTTTTCTCTTTTTTTTTTGTATTTTAATCAAGGTTGTCTGGCTTTGATTTTTAAAAGAGAATACACATTTCCCTCCACCCTCACCTCTCCCTCCACCCCATCCTAAAAGCAAACCTCTGTCCTTTTCTTCTTCACTTTCAAAACTTTCTCTTCCATCATGTCGTGGACTAGACGGAGAACTGTAACTTTCTGAAGATGTTTCTCCACATGTGTCATGTCCAGATCCAATGTCTAAATTCATATCTAAAAATAATAACTCTATTTAAAAAATCATGTTAAGTAGTCAATTTCCAAACTGAACCATTAGAAATTAGTTGTAGCTATAAGTACTTTTTCAGTTTTCCTGCAAACACTTAAAATGCTTGTCTTCAATTTAGATGAAAATTTGTTACTAAATAATGATTTCAACTCAAAATAACTGATGAATGTGTTCTTAAAACAAAAATATAGAAGAACAATTCAATCTTATTGACTTAAAAAAATCAGAATTAAGGTTCTTTGTAGGGTCTGTCCAATAATACCATTTTGAGCCACCTTCTAACTCCTCAGGGCTTGTTGAAAAATTCTTTCAAGAAAAGAATGGTTTGTCAAAATGCTTACTCAGTTAAAATTACTAGGCCAGAGTATTTAAAAGAATAAACTGAGGGACTGAGCAGTCCCTTAATTTCCACTGAAAGGCCAAGCCTACTTCAAGATGGAGCAGGAGTAAGAGCAGTACATGGAACGATCAATTCACTACATCTGTTTTGGAGACATAAGGAGACTGATCACTGGTGTGTGTGGTACAAGAAATTCATACACTGGCCCAGGATGAGGAAACTGTCTTATTCACTTCTGAAAACCCAGTAGCTAGCATAGCTTCTGTCTTACAGCAAACATCTAATACATCTTTAGCATATAAATCTCAATATAAGCAATTGCAGGGGATTTAAAAAATATATACATGAGTGAATAATTTCCATGGCAACTTGGTAGAACCAATAAAATGCTATGATGATAATTACTTGGGCAAAATATGTGTCAGAGAAAAGACATGACTGGTACAATGAACAATTTGGTTGACTACCCGTATCTTTTGAAGGAGATACTTTATAGCAGTCCTACTTAGCTCACACCAGCCACTGAAGTGTTGGATGAATCTTGACGAAAAATGAAGGCATTAAGAATGTCGGTGTTGCTAGTTCTTTCTGGGTAATACAGTTAAATGCCAAATTGCCAAGGGAAAACTGCACAAAAACTCATGAGGTATCAGAAAAGTGGCAGAGGCATGACATGGGAAGGTAGTAATTTTACAGAAAAGCAATCTTGAGTATACATATACACAGTAAGCTCTGAATTACTAGTTACAACATAATGAAAGGGATATAGGTCAATAACAAAACCTGAAGGCATTCTAATGTGCCACAGTGGCCAAACAACTTGACATTAAACTAGCCTCATGAAAATGAAACCTATAAAAACTGTAGCACATATGGAAATATTGCATATAAACATTTCAGCCAACATTTAACAAAATGAACAGTCCAAGCAGTTTTTCTCCAAATGGCTTAATTTATAAGACAATTTTCTTTATACTGTATAGCTAGTGAATATTCTAACACTGCCATGTATTAAATTGCAGTTTTCAAAGAACTAAACATGTAAGTCTAAATCTATACTAAAAGGAATTTCCTCTTTTTGGTAATAAAAGAAAATGCTTCATAATGATGTTAAAACATCAGAAATCCCCTAGTGATTCAGAAGATATACAAGGGCAAAACAATTATGCCAAAGGATACGCCATGAACTTAAAATTTTAAAACTTAAATTTAAAAAAAAATAGACAAACTTAAATTTTTTATCATGTCTCAAATGATAAAAAGGTCTTACATATGATTAAGACAAAACTCACAACATAAGTCATTATACCAACAAAATTTCTCACTGGCAATTATGAAGTTTGTTACAGAGTTAAGAACCATTTAAATAAATCACAGGTGATAGAGTTACTAAAAGAAGTTGGAGACATTTAGAGCACTCTAAATTTTGTAAAAGAAATTGAGAGGTCAACCACATCATTTCCCTCCAAACTTTTTGGTCCCACAACCAGCAACAAAAAAGTGAGGTGAAAGAAATACTGGCACAATAGACTAAACAGTAAGAGTTCATAATGGTGTCTGTGTGGTAATGCATGTATCTCTTTAGAACAGACATAAAGGGTTTTGGTGGTTATTGTTTTGAAACAGTCTGAAATACAGGTTGACCTCAAACTTGTGACCCTCATCCCTCTGCTTCCTGAGTGCTGGGATTATAGGCGTGCACCACTATGGCCAGCCAGCAAGTGCTGAGACATAAAGTTTTAAAGTGAAATGCCCTGCAAATGCAATGAATAGCATAAATTGCTTTCTGGGAGCTGACAACATGGACAAATGCAATTAGGGGGTCTTTATTTTAATTTCTTTTTGTATTTTTGGAATTTTAAGCTACATGAATGTATTATTACTCAAAAGAGAAGTTAAAATTTAAAATTATAAAATTAAAAGTAAATAAAGTTCATCTTAAGCTAGAATGCATTATTTAAAGATCTGAAAAACCTACCAATCAACCAAACAACCTAACCTACCCTATACTTTCAGCTCCAATTCAGTTTTTCTATATTTCATAATATGAGGTATTGTTCCATAAGGAGAAAATTTTAATCATATCTCAAATTTACTAAGTGCCTACAGGCAATTCCTTCTTGCTAAAGGTACCTTACTATTTCAAAGGGAAATTCATAAACAGAATTGTTTTTTAAGTTAGACTTGGCATATCTCTTAAGTTATAGTTGACATCAATGAGACAAACTGTCACAAGTATCTTTTATTCATAATCATATTCCATAAAAGTAAATATCTATGAATTAATGACATAAACAGAGAATAAAATAGAATACGGTTTGGCTTATTCAAAAATCCTGATTATTATCATAATACTTGAAAATTAAGAGACAAAAAGAGAAAAAGAACTAGAGCTTGGGATGTTGTTACAAAGTTCTTAAAGTATAAAATGTATTATTTTCTTCTAATTTATTAGTACAAGGAAAAGGAACTAAATTATTGAATACCTCAAGACTCAGTACTAGTGAAATGCTCTGCTGAGATAGGCAGTATTATTTCTAGTAGACAAATGAGAAAACTACAACTTGCAGGCCACACATCTAAAAAACAAGGAACATAAGAGCCAAATCCACTAACTTCTGATCAAAGTCCATATATTTCTCCTCTAGAAATAGGTTAAAAAGGGAAGAACAGCCACAAACTTCTTGAATGAGCAGGAGTTCCTGAATGATTTGAAACAGGAGGTAGCATGATCTGGTGGAAGGTGGTGTATACTTGATAGAAACTGCATCAGGACAGTGACCCGATTAAGTATGCTCTTCCAAGACAAATGTAGCAGTGTGGAAAATGAGTCAGGAGGGAACAAAGGCAGGAATACCTGGCAGAAGCAAATTCTAGTTGTCCACCCACAGACCATTTGCCTTCCTTAAATTTTTTCCTCCTGCTTTTGGTTGCCATCACACAAGGTGTTACAACATGGGATTGGATCCTTACAATAGACGGGATGAGTTTTTTCCATGTAATTTTTACCCCAGTTCGGCTGATTCATTGAATTGGCTGGACAATTTGGATTAAAAATGAAATCATTTTTCTTTCATCACTATTCAGTCTTTCTTACAAATATCTATTTTACAAATATATCCCATTTAAGAAGTATATTCTGGTTATTTAGAAAATTTCAAGTGAATATACTAACATTACAGTAAGATTTAAATTTAAAAAGTCCTCATTTGTGGGATCAGTCAATATGTCAGGTGCTCTTATTCTATTTTCACTATTAATCGTAAAGTCAAATAAAACACAGAAAAAGCCATCCCTACTAGCAGTAGGGACACCTCTCAGTCAAATGAACTGTGAGTCTAAAAATAAAGAGAACTTAAAAGTAATGGTGGGTAAAAGGAAATCACAACAAATCTAGTTCAACAAATATCTGAGGGTCAGAATTCTCTCAATGTTCAATAAAGAACCAGTTATTAATGAAAAAGTCAGTTATATTCTAAAAAATGAGTCTGATGAGAACATGTCCAGACTTCCCTGAAGGTGGCCTGCAAAGTTGCAGAAAAGACCTAAGACCTGGAACTGCTGTCAGCTCTGGAGTAGGGACTGATCTGAGAAGAAAACAAATTCGAGTGACTACTGTGGCAGAGGGAGGAAATGTCAACCTCCATAGCTGACTGACAGTCTTTAAAATTAATCCCAGTAATTTCAGAATTGTTTAATTTGGAAATTGCCGTACACATCAATGCAAGGTAAAATTATATTAGGATATAACACAACAGCTAAATACCTATGAATATAATATTATATTAAATATATTTAGGGGGCTTTCTTACCTTTCACAGTACCACCATGGGCATGCTGAGGAGTGCAGAGTCTAATACCATTTATCTACTAGTCAATCTGTTGTCAGTCTTCTTAATTTTCTCCCTAAAACAAATGTATGTATATTGCTTTATAAGGTTCTCTGTCAAATACATTAAGTACACTATTACTAAAATTTCCTTCAAGATGTTTTTATAATTAAAAAAATGCAGTAGGAAAAAACCTAAATACAAATAAGAGTCACACTTTAGTGTACAGTTCTGCAAGTTCTGTCCCTCCAAACACAATACACAATTTGAGAATAGCTTTGCTTTTTTTTTTTTTTTTGTGGTATTGGGGAATTGAACTTGTTAGGTCAGTGCTCTACCAGTTAAGCCATGCTGTCAGTCTAACAACAGCTCTTAACTTCTATCACTCACATGTGCTGATATTTTTAACTAAAAATTTAAGCCTAGAATTAAAAATATATAAAAGAATCTAATGGAAAATACTACTTATACTCTATAAACTAAATATGCCCATAGTTAAGTACTAAATGCTGTCTTTCCTTTCAAATTTCTATTACTGGAAACATTGAATTAAACATACTTTTCTATTTGTGGCTTTCCTTTCTTCTTATTCACTGAAGATAAGTTCCGTTTTTCAGCAGAATGCTAGTAGAAATAAAAAGACAAGTCAAACAGACCAAAGCCAAACCACATGCTGTAGGAATCTATTTATTCTGATATCAGGCATTAAAATGTTATATCTTCCAGGTGTACATTCTAACAAATTTTTATTTTCAACCTATTTTTGAAGTAAGCTATAAGAAACCACTAAAATTTACATATTCTATGACAAATACTTAATATTAATCATGAGAAAATATTTTTCTTTTTCTTTTTAAATGCACACTATTCTTTTTTTCTGATTACAGCACTTCCCCCTTATCTGCAGAATTTTGCTTTCCAGAGTCAACCATGGTAAAATATACATCCCAACAATAAACATTTCTTAAGTTTAAAAGTGCTATTCTGAGTAACACGATAAAATCTGGCCTACTCCATCCTTCCTAGGACACACATCATCCTTTTGTCTAGTGCATCTACACTGCATTCACTATTCACCTCATGGCAGTTAAGACAGTAACCACATATCCATCTAACAGTTTTCCAGCATGTTGTTATAATTTTCTGTTTTACTATTAGTGTTGTTAATGTCTCACTGTGCTTAATTTATAAATTAAACTTTATCATAGGTATGTATGTATGTATAGGAAAACATGTAGTTTATCTAAGCTGTCTATATTTTCAGGCATCCTTGGGACATACATATCATCAAATTCCAAAATAAAATATAAGCAAGTACTGGTATTTGATTTATTTTATTAGGGTTCCCTTGAAGTTCAATTTGATAAAACTTTCGATTTTGTCAAATCTAAGAAGAGAGGGCATACATTGGAATAGAGAGAGGAAAGGATAATCAGGTGAGCGTTGAAAAAGAGACCATTAATTGTGATTGAGACAACTTTAGTTCATAAAAATTATTCCATAAAGAGGTAACATTTGGATTTGAGTGTTGGCCAGAAAGAGAATTGGGTTAAACAAATCAATTTTCCAGAGAGAAAAGTATTTCTTCTGCATTTGCAATGTGTATGCTCTCTCCCAAATCTGTAGTGGCATGTCACACTGGAAACACTTGAAAGCATTCCCTTTCTCATCACACTCAATTTCCTAAGACAACAAATATTTCCTCATTATGTTCAAGGAGTGCCAATAAATTGGCCCAACTACTCATGATGAAAGATCAGTTTGAAAAATAGCAACTTAACAAGGTACTGATTGAAATGTGAGTAATTCTTTTAAGACCAAAAAACTTGACGTAATTTAATGTTCTCCTAGAGTTAGAATAAGCATTTTAAGTGTCAAATTAAGGTCAGTTAATTTTACATGAGTAATCAAAGTTATCTATATACACTTTTTCAGTTCTTAAAAGAACTCAGATCATATTTACAAATATAAAGTCTATCACTAAAACATTCCTCCTTTCTTCTTACCAGATATACTATCTGACTGAATGCTTATAGACTCATTAAAAAAATACAGAGAACAGAAATGCCTAACTATATGACACCAAAACAACCCCCCATATACCTGGTCAGCTAAGGTCACACAGTGCTCTGGGTGCTGAATGGTGGCACAGCTTTGCTTCCTGCAATCCACAATTCCATTCTGTTCAGAATACTGCATGGCAAATCCATCCAATGGAGAACAGCTTGTACCAATACTGCTATGGAAAGAAAAGTTTATGACAGTGTGAACATCTCTCCTCAGTAATTAAACCTGCTGTATCATTTCAATGAAAAAGCTACAGTAACCCCTTCTTGAATCTACTGAAGACTTAATTTTTGGGTTTTTTTTGAACATGTAGTGATACGTCTAAGGGGAAAGAAAGGTACGTTATGAGAAATAAGTATTTAGTTTATCATATCTAAAAAGAGTAGTAGTTACTCTGCCACTGGAGAGTCATCTTGCACCACTGACAGCTGGATCAGAGAGGGTGCACAACCCGTATCTACAAAAAACTTCTGTGCTAAGAATTGTGTAGTAACTAGGCAAGTAAAGGGAAAGAATAAAATGACTGAAACCTCAAAGAAACAGACAATAGAAATAGGACCCAAGAAAATCCAGACAATAAAGCTACTGGACATGGACTTTCAGGTAACAGTGCTTAACATGGTCAATGAACACAAGATTGAGGATTTTTGGAACAGTACTGGAAAATACAAAAAAAGAACCAAATTTAAAATCTAAAACCATAAAATAAATTGATATTAAGAACTCAATTGGTGGGAAACAGATGGAGAAAATTAATGAGGAGAAAAGTTGGTCTGAAGAAAATATACTGAAGTTCTAGGAGGGAAAAATATGGAAAATAAAAAAGATTTAAGACATGTAGGACATGGTGGGAAGTCTAATATATATGCGCTTGGCTTAAGTCTTAAAGATGGACCAGGAGAACAAGGCAGAAGTAATATCTGATGAGATACAAACTAGGAATTTTCTAAAATCAGAAGATAAAAAGCTACACATTCAAGAAGTAGAATTCATGCAAAAAAAAGCTACAAACATTATCATAGGAAAGCTGCTGAAAACCAGACAATGAAAAAAACTTAAAATAGAGGAAAAACTACATCACCTTCAAAAGAGCAACAGTAAGACTGACTAAATGATGGAGGCTAGATAGCTTCAGTGTGATCTGCCCTTAAAAGCAGAAAGTAGGAGAAAAGGAGTATGAAGAATGAAATAGCCAAAACCCTCATTAAGTTTGCCACTGAAAGCAAAAGTTGCCCATAGCTGCTGAGATCTCCTAGAATTATCTACCAAAGGATAGGAAGAAGGCTCTCAAAGAATCAGCAGAGGCCTTGAGGCAGAAAGTGAAAGGTCTGGTGGCACATGAGTGAGGGGGACACCATAGCTTCAAAGAGCTAAAAACAGAAACTGTCAATCTAGAATTCCATATCCAGCAAAAATATCTTTCATGGCTGGCAGAGTAGCTTATGTGGTTGAGAACTTGCCTAGTAAAGTGCAAGGCCCTGAGTTCAACTCCCCCAGTACTGCCACAAAACAAACAAAAACCAAAAATCCTCACAAAACTTTTAAAAAATGTACACTAACTACACATTTCTTTCGCGTTTGCATTCAAGGCTGGGAGTATGGCTCAGCAGTAGAGTGCTTGCTTAGCATTCATGAGGACCTGGGATTGACCCTCATAACAAAACAGACAATAAAAGAAAGAAAACCTAACCACATTCATCACTGGCAGATTAACTACAGAAACTACTGTCTTTTTCATTTAAGAAGAAAATAATCATAGTAGATGCTTAGAGACAGGAAGAAATGAAGAGCAAGGAAATGGTAAAATCTAATTCAGGCTTGGGAGTGTAGTTCAAGTAGCAGAGTGCCTACCAAGCAACCACAAGGCCCTGAGTCCAAGCCCCAATTCTGCCAAAACAGAGGGCTGGCAGGGAATGGCTCAAGCATTAAGAGCACCTGCCTGGCAAGCGTGAGGTCCTGAGTTCAAACCCCAGTGCTGCCAGAAAAAAAAAAAAAATCAACTACAAACAGAGAACTAAAGTGCATTATATTTTATAACTGAGAAAAAGATAAATGAGGTTATAGTAATTCAAGGTCTTCAAATTATTAGATTTTAAGAAGTCAAAGATGTGTGATACAATCTCTAGGATGACTACTAGAATATTACTCTACTGACTGTAGGGTAGCTACAATCTCTAGAGCAAATAATGTATAACTATCAAGGCTGATAGGAAAGAAAAATAATGAAAAACAAGCCAAAAGATGGCAAGAAAGGACACACAAGGAAACCCAGAATAGGTGGACAAATAAAAAGCAAACAGCAAAATGACAAGAGTTGTAGCCAAATATATTGGTAATTTAATTATTTGAAAGTGTACAAACAAAGGCACTCACATTTTAGAAACTAGATACTTACTTCACAACGGGACTTTTTGTGGTATGCTTCTTGTGGATTATGGTGTGCTGCAGCACATCTAGAGTAGAGGAAGAAGTACTTCATTAAACGCTGCAGCAAAAATCACAAGGGTGATGTTACTAACTTACACAATCGAGACAGAGGTGATCAACAGCATGGGAGCACTCCTATGCGTTTCTCAACATAGAAAACATCTTATGCAATTTTTCGGACATACTAAGCTACTGAATTACCTTAAGTATCACCTCAAATGTATTTCACCTAATAGCACACCAATCTTATTAAGATTCTTGTGTGTGGTGGAGCACACCTGTAATCCGACTTACTTGGGAGCAGAGGTAGGATTGTGGTCTGAGGCTAACAAGACCTTATCTGAAAAACAAACGTAAGAGCAAAAGACTAGGCACGGCTAAAGCAATAGAGCACCTGCCTAGCAAGTGGGAGGTCCTGAACTCAATCTACAGTACTGCCAAAAACAAAAACAAAATATATGGAAGACTAATATAAGCATACCACTACAAACAAACAACATCTAATTTCAAGTACAACTCACTTTTTAACCACTGTAAAATTAAGTGTTTCAAACATTTTAACATTACTGATATAATAAACACCTATGTAAATCCACATCTCAACCTTCTATTTGCTTTTTTTTCAAGAAACAAAATACTGCAGGTATGACTGCAAGTCTTCTTTCACTTACCTCCCTCTCTCTACAGAGGTTAACTAGTACCTAACCTGTTGAAACATCTATTGAAAGTTTCTTATTTATGTATATATGTATGTATGTACATATTTTGCAGTATTAGGGATAGAACACAGATCCTCTACTTAAGCTATGTCCATAGCCCTTTTGTTTTTGAGATAGCATCTTGCTAACTTTGCTAGGGATAGCCTCAAACTCAGGATCCTCCTGCCTTTGCCTACAACATAGCTGGGATTATAGGCATGTACAACCACACTCAGCTTGAAAGCTTCATTTTAACTACCCATAAATATATGCATAGGCATAAACACATAGAGTGGTGTTGCATGTTTGAACATACTACAGATATCCTTTACTTTAAATGCTACCAGCATGGATATATCATGATCTGTCTGTAAACTCATTAGCATTTGAAACATTCCAGCCATTCCCTAGTATTTGCTCTTATAACAGCGCTGCCTGAGTGCCTGTCCACATCTCCCTAAGCACATGCACAACAGCTTTCACAGGAATATCTTTGCTGACAGCAACATAAAATTATTTACAACTTCACTGCTTTGTGTCAATTCATATTCAATCCACAGTGCATGAGTTCTCATTGCTTCATAGACACGATAGTCATGAAACATGAAAACGTTTTAGCAACCTGATGAACGTGAAATGATCTGTTTTCATTTACGTTTTCTTAACTATTAGTGAGGCCGCACACTGCTTAATAGCTGTTCAGGTCTCTTCCTCTGTGAATTTCCTACTTAGGTCTTTTGTCTGTATTTCTGCTTTGTTTTGGTGGTACTGGGGGTTGAACTCAGGGTCTCATGCTTGCTAGGTAGGTGCTCTACCACTTGAGCCACTCTGTCAGCCCTTGCTCAGATTTCTATTGGGATGATTTTCTCACAATGATTTTTAAGGAGGATTTGTCTATAGTCTACATTATATCCTGCTCATATCACCGCAGGGTCTGTAGACTGTCTTCTAGTTGTATGGTTTCTTTTGTTATATGTAAGCTCTTATTTAAATTAGTAAAATCTATGGTCAATGTTCTGCCTTGTGCAGGAAAGCCTTCTCTTCCCACATTAACATTTAAAAGTTTAAATTTTACAAATAGTTTTTCACTTGAAATTTTTGTGACTACAAACTGAGAAATGAAAAATTTCTCATATGGAAAATCAATTGTGCCAACACTATGTAGTGAACAGTCTATTCTATGCCCACATATTTGTAATGTCACCTTGATCACGTCCCAATTCCCTTATGTGTGTTTCTAGGTTCCTTAATCTGTTCTATCTCTGTGTCAGCTTCAGGCAGAATGACTTGTTCTAGTGGATCTACCTTTACCTTCTTCTTGACTTGAAGCTTCTGAGCTGTCTTCTTTTAAGTGCTCCAAAATCTTAGAAGTCTTCAGAGAGGATGGTAAGTTATCTGCAGGAACAATCCATACTATTATCTCTTCATGAATATTATAATAATTAGATAAAGAAAAAAAACACAGTAATTATTCTCTCTTTCCCCCAAAGAAGAGAAAAGTGGAGGGTTAGTGGAGAAGAGAACATTTCTACTAGTTAGGGCCTTTAGGACAGCAAGATGACACAGCATAAAGCACAGGGCTACTAGTGGAGTCATGGCACCACCTGTCCTCTGATTATCACCTGACCTGAGAAAGCTGTGCCACGTTTATCAGCCCCAGTGTGCCCATTCACAAAATCAGCAAATGGACAAGAGGGAGCTCTCAAAAATCTGTGGGTACTAAGGATATTATTTTAATTTGTTAAAAAGTCTCCAGTTTGTTGTATATTCTTGCTTTTGTGATACACAACAATGATGTGGCAATGCTGAGTGGCTATAAAAGCTCCCTCAGTGTCTATTCTGAATTTCCATTCTTCTATTACAGAGCAGTGACAAGCAATTTGTGGACATTTTGATAGCAATGGATTCCACAGTTGGACATATTAAGTCATTTAGGAGTTTAACATTGTTCTCACAGAGTTAGTTGTCAGGGTATGTCCCAAGAGAACAAAAAGGTAGAGCTATCAATTTTTCAGAAGAAAAACTATGTACAAGTGAACCTTGACAACAATGTGTTCATCAGTGAAACCACTCAGACATGTATAAATACTATGCTGAAAAAGTTTCCCACAATCTTAAACTGTATACTTTCAATAGCATTTTAATTTAATTTCATAACCTTAAAAACCTACCAAGCCCTCCAGAGGAGTCTTCCCTTATTATATATGCATATATTATTATATTATTTTATTGTAACAATACAGAATATTTTAATGTAATATGTATACTATGTTTATAAGTTTATATATATTTATAAAAAATATGTTATATATGATACATTATAATATAATATAATATGCATATATTACTTATATGCATACTCCTCATATGGCCTTTCATGGGCAGCCTACTAATCTGTTTTTGAGTATGTGTGTGTGTGGGGTACTGGGGCTTGAACTCAGGGCCTCACGCTTGTTAGGCAGACATTCTACCACTTGAGCCACTCTGCCAGCCCCAGCCTGTTAATCTGAGATATAAGTACATTTGTGGGCTAGAGACTTGGCTCAAGTGGTAAAGCACCTGCCTAGCAAGCATAAAGCCCTAAATTCAAACCCTACTACCACCAAAAATAAATATGTAAATGAAGTATTTTTGTGTTTCGATGATTTTTTTAGAATTAAATTAAGGCTACTGATAGACATTATTAAAAAGCACTTAAACCTGGTTCAGGGAGAAAGCACTATAAAATCTACACAGCTCTGTAACAACCAAGACATTCTTTAATCAACATAAATTCAGCTATGCAGTTGTGCTTCTTATCTTAGTCAACTAATCATAAAGTGTCTTGTTTTTAATTCTAAATGCTAATTATGTTCAAAATATTTAAGGCATACACACGCACACATTTGCACTCAAGCAGTTAGTGAAACTTTACAAGTTAGCCCATATGTTATAGCATCCAATCATATTTTTCACCTCTTTTTCTCCCACCCCAAACTAATGAAATATGCATTTATCTTCCCATTAAGTAAATAAAAATAACTATTAAAGCAAAAATAAAGACTTAAAGAAAAAAGTGTTCCTTGATACAGAGGCTACGCTTAAAGTTAGCAGAAATTCTTTAACACATGCATTAATGTTACTGGCAAAATATCTGTTTAAAAGGAAGGCTGAAGACAATGTGTATAAAACTGAACAGCAGACAGGCTGATGAGTGCTGAAACACAAGGGCAAAACTGAACAGAAGAAAGCACTAACAGAAATAAGAGAAAAAAAAACTGGTAAAGCTTTCTGGAAGAGGTGATACTTCCGTTGAGCCTTAAAACAGGTGTGATTTTAGTGGGCAGTGAGAAAAGATGGATATTTAAAAAGAGTACAAATGAGCAGACACTGGGGCAGAGGGTCCTGGGAAATTCTAAGCCTTCAAGCAGCTAGAGCTTCAGAGACCAAAAGACAAAACTTTTAAGTTTTTAACAGGGAATTAACAATCAAATTTGTCCTGTGATAGTCCTGGGCAGGACAGAGTGAGAACTATAACCTGAGCAAAGAGCAGGAATTTGCAGCCAAACAATCTGTGCATGAAACAAGGCCTAACTGAACAATGGGATGGCCAAAATGGAACAAAAATACATCCCTGTCTAGCGTGGGCTGGCCTTTAGGTGGCTGAAAATGCAGAAGATGACAGAGATGAGTAAGACTAAGGGGCTGTGAAGGTCAACACAGGAACAGGTGACTCAGGAGGAAGGCAGACTAGATTGTCATAGCTCTCTAATCTGTAAGCAAGCTCCACCAAGGAAGTGAAGGACCATGTCTCAGAGCAAGTCTCAGAGATTCTTAAGACTTTGCCTGGTCCTCAGTCTGCCTTGTTATGTCAGCTCTTATACATTACTCTTTAAAATTGCAGTGCAAAATTAACTACAAATGTCAAATCTTTCATAATTGTATGTCACTATCCCTTAACTTTTAACTAAATTCACTAACTTTTAACTATGAGGGGACATGACAAAACAAGAAAGTCAAGCAAAAACAAAACAAAACAAAACAGATTTCCACAGAAGACTAGAGGATGCTTACTGAGACTGTGAAGAGAGTCTGACGATATGGTCCGGAAAAAGCTGTGTACTTTCTGACTCTGCAGAAAAGCTTGGGATGACGTTGAAAATAGCTGCCTGCACATAAAAAGGAAGAGAATTGTTAATTTCAGGTACATGCATCTACAGTATCTCACTTTAGATTATAAAGAAGCCTTAAGTGGCTGTTTCATTCAACTACAGAAAAACTTTTTTTTTTCCTAAAGGAAAGAATATTATTTTCTAATGTATTTTCTACAGGAAGGAGCAAGTAAAATTTAACAAACTCATTTACAGGATCCAAACATATTTTTAATGGTAAGGTTTCAATTCTAGCAAAAAAAATGCATTATTTTAGACTTTTCCCTAAGTGGCCCAATAGCTGCCTTTCTGCTCAGAGAGAACTGTAATGCCCTTTCTCTTCCCACACTCTGACTATAAGAGGTTGAGAAGTTTGGGATGCTAAGAGTCCTGGAAACTTGGAACATAGCTAGAGACATAGTTAACATATATTATACAAGAATTACTATATCCTAAGTCAAGATGACTTCATGATCCACGTTGACTCTTTATCATGCCCTGGTGAACAACTCTAACTACCCATCGCTGATAAAAGCTCACTTTCACTGGATTAAAAAAGTGTCTGTCAGTCTTCTCCACTCTAAAGCTACTACTCTTTTTTTCCTTTATAATTAATGACCATTATTTTGTGGGAAGTTGTGGAAAGGGACTTTGATAGTATCAGTATCTTATTCTTCAAATATTCGATCAATTCATTATTTATTTCAACACGCACTCAGGGTTTTCTGCTTTATTGAATTTTACTACTGTTAAATTGTTTTGATATTTTATCTCCCCAGATCTGACTACCAGGAGCCCCTTCAAGCTGGCTCTACTCCTTGTGACAAATCTGTTAGCATTCTTGGAGGACTTCCTTGCATTCTGGCACAACAGGCTCATCTTGTATATTTCAACTGAAATCTGCTTGTCTTCCAAGAAGCCCAAATTCCCTTTAGTGGAGAATGTAGAAGTCTATCCTGATTACTCCTGAAGTACTGCTGCTTCCAGACTCTTTCAATGAACAGAGCTGGGAAGCACGTGTGTGCACACACACATACACACAACCATATTTGTTTCTTGATCTATATGTACTGAATATCATGAGTTTAATAACTTCAATTCCAGTCAGACACTCCAGAATTCGTTCTGGTTTTCCACGTTAATTCCTTTCTCCAGAAAAAATTCAAGCTGGTTCTCAATATCCTTAACATATTTACATATTTATTCAAATCCCCTGTAGCAAACTATCTCCCACTGTTATCACTACTCCCTTCCAACCCCTATGCAGGCACCCTCCTGACTCCACTTGGGTTCCAGCAGCCTGCTGCATCTGTGGCTGATGAACACATTGTGCTTGGCCTCCTCCAGGTAGACCACGAGTCACTTCTAGCCCCTCTTAGGCTCCTTCTCCAGCCCACAGGGGCACATCCTCCTCTCCTGATGCTGTTGTATAACTTGCCCCATGTCCTGGGAGGTAGGGGACAGGAGGGAAAAATGACCCAAACAATGTATGCACACATGAATAAATGAATTTAAAAATTTTCAATTATTAGAGCTTTAGAGTTTATTAATAGCTGATAAATAAATCTGGTTTTCCTAATTCTGTTCCCAAAATACTTTTACACACTCTAAGATATTTATTCTTCAGTTCATTAGACAGTTATGTTAAAACTCCATGTATATGCACACATTCTAGAAGACAGGCAGAACTGTGTGGTTTCAAGTCTTGAGTAGTTGAGTGAGTACTTTTTAATGTTAACATGTTTTTCTTGGCTTCTCATTCCATCAATCTACCATTCTTCCAGGATCACATCTCCTGCTTCAACCTCGCAAGTAACTAGGGACTACATCATACCTGCCTTCCAAACTAATTTCTTCCCACATGGCTACTGAGTTATACCCAAAGTCTAGGAATGACTTTCTAATTTGAAAGGAGGGATGGAAACACAAAAGCAAAGATTAAAAGACATAACATTTTAAAATTCCATTTTAAAAACATAGTTAACTAAAAATATTAATTCATTTAATATTAATATCAATTAATACTTCACTTAAAAAGGTAAGAAAAACACAAAAATCTAAAAAGATAAAATTGGTAAGGAACACAGGATTTTACAAAATACTCACATAGACATTTCACTAAATGATAAAAATGGAGACTGTGAGTTAAGCATTCACCTATCAAATTAGTCAATATTCTTCAAGATGCTCAAAGCCAGCCAGGCTGTGTTAACTAAGTCAAACACTCTGAGTGCATACTGCCCCTTACAAAAGCTTTACAGAAGAAAACCAGGGTCAAGATCTCTTTCAGGCAATAGTAAATCAATTTCAAAGAATCTCTCCTCAGCAATTAACCATAATCTGGGAAATGTTTTAGACACAAAAATGATCAAAGCTTTATTTTTAGGAAAAAAACAACGGAATTAACTGTATTTCCCCCAAACAGAAAAACAAAAAGGATTACAGCCAAATGCAATGTATTTTATAGTCACTCAAAATGCTTCTGAAATATAAAATGCTTATGATTTGAGAAAGAGCAAATGAAACTACAGATCTAATATTACAGACTAAAAGGAAAAATTAAAATTTTAATAATTATTTGAATGAGTAATTTTTTATTTCTTTTCTGTATTTCCCCATGTTCTTTACTGAGTATTTGTTAAGATTTTTCATGGAAGCCCCATATTAATCAGAATAGAGTCATTCTATATCAAACACTGAATTAAATAAATACTGAATAAACTTTATGAAATTTTACCTCTCCATTGTGTTGTGTGTCTACTACTGGTCAGCCATGTGACCTCAGCTAAATTAAAGGCTTTTGTCTGACTCTGAGACAGGGTAATACTCATGGCTGGCTGCGGTCAAATCACATAACGAAGCCAGTGCGGACAGGATGACACACCATGCACCAACCCGCTGGTCCGTAAGGGTCACAATCCCTCTGCTTCGCACTGTCATCTAGATTCTCATGACTACCCCTGGCCAGCCCACCAGGTTCATGCAGCCAGATACCTTTGCAAATAGCACAGCTGTGAACTCCTTCCTAACTCACTTCTGGATGTGGTGCTGAGTGCTCACCAGCTGCTGAAGCCTTGCTAATCTGTGTGTGCTCTGGGAACCACCAGCACCTCCTGGAGCTTGCTAGAATCACACAATCTCTAGCCAATCCTGGTAGTGTGGAATAAAGACCCACATTTTACAAAATCCCAGGAAATACATATGCCGATTAATGTGAGAGCACACAGGAACTCAGGAATTCAATTATTCTGCACCTTTGCCCTACTGCTCATTTAGTCTTATCCCCGCAGTGCTCTTTGTTCTATTCCCATTCCTTCTTTCTCTAAACCTTTCCCCTGTGCCCTCATAGACTCTCTAAATATTCAGATTCTTCAGTGACCAGACCACGTACCTCATTGTGATTAAACTCTGGGCTCCAGCTTTCCTCACAGCTGTTCAGGTTGAAGGTGCCCATCTCTTCACCCACTCCTAACACACATGTGCCTGCATTCCCTTAAGCCCCCCCCCATTCAGCCTTTCTTTTCCCTAATTTGTTTCATGCACCACCTTTTAGGTCAATCTTCCATATGCACATTCAATTTTGGAACCAGCCCCACTGTCTCCTCTACCCTAAATCTTACATTACTTGGTAACCAGGGCTATCTTTATAGGGGGCCATCTGACACTGAGCTCTTTGTTCAGCTGCCTTCACCTAGTGACTTCCTCTATCTCCTATTCCATTCTAGTCATTTACTTCCATAGTCACACTCTGAATCTTGTTATATAATGATTATACTCTCCCCACCTCCCAGATTTCTGCTTGTCTCCACTGAGGCGCAAACCTGCCTTCCTTTTTCTTAGCCGCACCCATCCCAAGAACAGTTCACCTCTCAGGAATGGGAGGGCCATCACATGAAGTAACACATATCTCTGTGTTTTCTTCCCCCAGGGAAGTCTGCTTCTGGTTCAGAAGGCAGACCAGAGGAACTTTCCCTTATGCCTGAACCTAAGCCATAAAGGCCCAGCACTGCTTTTACTATTTATTTATTAGTAACTACAAATTTCCAGTAAAACAGCATTTGACTTACTGGCCATTATTTCTTAACTTTTCTACCTCTTAAAGAGAAGACCTCAGAAAGGAGTGAAGGGGATGACTGCCAAAACCACATTCCAATTTCCAGCCTCACAAGCAACTGTTCCACTTTAAGACCCACTGCTTGGACATCTCAGACTCTAACCCCAACTTGACTCTTTCTGCTTTACTAATTGAATACTCCCTTGAAAACTGTTCTCTAGGCATGGTGCATTCTACTGCTGCAGATCACCTATTTCACAGTTAGCTCTCACTGTCCACCACTTGTTCAAAACTAAATATTCTTCCTAAATTCCCTTGCTTCATTGTACTATTGTCACATCCAAGACAGCCTCCACCCAGGACAAAGCCAACCATCTGTTTTCTTTATACTTAGACTAGAACAACTAGAAAAAAAAATTTTAAATGCACAAAACAGAGCAAGTCAATACCAAAATAATGTACTGATGTCCAGGTGCATGCCATATCTTGTCCAGCTTAATAGGTTTCCTTCATTGGGTTGTTCTCAATGTACGTACACACGGTTTTAAGTCCCTCTACTCTCAATCATCTGATCCTCCACCCTCAATCTCCTTCTTCTTATGCAAACCTCTTACTTTAGAAAACATATAAGCCACTAGGGAAAACATCTCTCAAGTTCCTGTCACAATACAAGAAAATTTGCCTATAGCCACACCTACCCTGCTTTCATAGGGACCTTGTGCCACTGATCACCCTGCTTACCTGTATCTTCAATCTCTTCCTCTGCAGGCACATGGGAGGTCCTTGGAGCGGATCCTATGTGCCTCTAGCATCATATTTAACTCTTACCTCACCTATATCTATTTTTTGAAATAGCTCAACAATCCCATGAGAACGAAAATATGAACCTTAACCAGCACTGGGCTCAGGAGAGCAAATAGCAGAGAGTAAGTGCTTGAAAAGGGTTGCTTCCCTTCACTTCCCATCAGCCTGATCTTACTTGACAACTTCAAACATCTCCCAAGTTGAGTTAAATATTTTATAGAGAAAATAAAAGGGTTTGCTCAATATTTTCACATTTTAGAAGCAACTAAATTTTATGTTAAGAGAACAGAAAAGCACAATGATAAAATGAATTTGGTATTTTTTACTGTGAAGCTAGGCCTAACTACCAGCATAAGGATAAAAGGTCCATTTTATAAAGTTCTCCAGAGAGAGAATCTCTTGTGATCTTCCTAACAAGCCTGTCCTAACTATCCACAGCCTTCTGTCAGATGTCATAATTTGCATCAGGTAGACTGTTACCTTAGGATGGGCTCCAGATCAGGGTGTCGCCGCTCCTCTCTTTTTAAGGAACCCTGATTCAGGGCTCTTAAGATGGTCTTGTCAAAAGTCTCTGAAGACAACTCCTTTGGAAGCTAGAAAAGAAAAACATAATGTCCAATGTTCAGTTCCTCCTTTACTGGCAAATACATTACACAGCAGATGTACAAAATAAAGAAAAATGCCTCCTGCTCATTATCCAAAAGCTGCTCTTTTTCCAAACCTTCCCCACATAGGCTCCCCCACACTGAAGTGGTTTCCTCTAGGAAACACAATGTCTCCTTCTAGACACACTGTGGGGCTTCCCTGACGAGATGTATGGGAACACCACAGTATTTAACATGCTTCCGGGGCACACTTGCATGGAGCTCACACTCATGTCACAGTACAATGACACCCACACCAAAGTTCAAGTTCAACCGAACATTCTGCATAGCACAGCTGGTATTATTTTTATCCTAGAATAGTATTATGAAAGGTGTATCTCTGCCTCCATAGTTACCATTTTTGTGCCTCCTGTTTTACACTTTAATCTCAGGCAATGTCAGACTACTAATGCTGTGCATCACATAAAAGATCAAATTATGAAAGTTGGGTGAAGCCAACTTTCACAATCTTATTATGTCTCACAAAAGTAAGACAATGCAGTGGAGGTGCCCTAGAACCAGTGTGCTACACACCATTAAAAAAAAAAATCCCTGGGCCAAGAAATTTTAAAATTAAAACAAAAACTTGCCATTTTATTTAACTTGTTTACTTTTCACAAATCCAAATAAACTGAATTTTTGCAAAGCTAACTTTTTCAAAAATTCAGTTTTAAATCTGACTTTTGTCATTAATTTCTGAATTACTGGCACTTTCATTAAAATTAAATTAATACATTATCTTAGGAGCCATAAGAATATGAAAATCTACAAACTGACTTACATACTGAACTTTGAACAATCCACAGTAAATCTCTTTTGAAAAATAAGCATTATTGAGTCAACTACTAAGAAATGCAACAGCTAACAAAGGTAGCATAAAGCATTACTAATTTTAGGCATAGTGAACTATTGTGTCAAGATGCTCTATAATGATGAAGCTCCTCTGGTTCACTAATTAGCCTGGTAAAACCAAAGGCTCTGATGGTACACCCACTGTGGAAATTATGTCCTCTGATTAGTAACAGGAAGAAAACAAGTTTTGGATAGACATATTTTACAAGCCAAAAAAAAAATCACTATTAATTTCAAGATTTCTAGTTTATAATTAAAACTTTAATACAGATTTATGACTTATGGTATCATCAATTTTAGACATGATTTCTATAGAATATCTGTACAGAAACAAAGAAAACTAGCTTTAGTGGAGAAGCCTACTTTAGTTACTGAATCACTGATGGTTGTTCTAGACACTGAAGGCAATAGGACATAAATTTCTACCAGTTCAATGATACCGCTCACATTACTGGGCAGGGTATCGATATGTAATCATTGGTAATTGCAATTGACTTATTTTCAAGTGGTTTTTACCTTCAATTTCCAGATCCTATTTGTAGCCCTAAAGGAAGCATATTTTCTAATACTATAGCTCCAAATCACATCTTTTATGTTTTAGTCCCTTGTTTAGAGTTTTCTTGCTTCACCCCTCCTATCTCCATTTTAGTATATCCAGCCTTTAAAAGCACTAAAGCCTAAGGCACAGTCATTTATAAAACAATTTAGTTTTCTCAATACCTCTTGTTCATTCAGTCAGTCAAGAAACATTCAAACTTCTACTCTGTTCCAGCTACTGTTTCAGGCACTGTGGATACAGCAGTGAAGAAGAAACAAAAACCCTGCCAGCAGGGAGCCGACATTGTAGTGATAAGAGGAAGAATAAAACTGGGGAAGGGACCAGGATGTGGAAGACAGAAGATGCTATTTCCATGGGAAAAAGAGGATTTGTAGCCCTGACCTCAAACTCCTATTTCCTCATTATAGAAAACTGGAAGTGCAGTTCAATAGCATCAGCACAAGTTCAAGGGTGTTCGTCTATACAGGTTGTCAAAAAGACAGCTTTTGCTCTTGACTTTTTGTAAATGATGTTAAAAAGGAAAGTAAAAAGGGAAAAAAGCTGTAAATGTGAAGACTATTTTAAAACAGGCAATTTATTTCTAGAAACACATGTTGCAGATTATTTCATGTAACTAAGAGGAATTTATATTTATTTTAGAAAAATACTATATCCAAATGTTGGGTAAGCAGGGAGATCAACATGATTCTGAAGAATGAGTTCCTTATTTGGGGCCGTAAGCATTTAGTATTTAGAAAAATTGTGTGGCAGAAAAAATATAATCTGTTAAGACAAACAATAACCAAAGCTTAGGGAAGGAAACCCAGTAAAAGAGAGGAAATACATCCCAGAAACCACGCTACAGGCAGGGGTGGATTATGTGTTCTCTCACTGAACTGTAGAAGATGGACAAACAGGCAGCAACTCCAAATGCAATCTGGAATCTTGTTACTTGGCCTTGACAGGTGATAGTTTTGGACTCCCCCTCAAAGACTTTTCAGTCTTATCTCTACATCCCCTGCATCTCACTCCCTAGCATTAGAGCTATGTTATAGAAAAGATAACAGAAGACAGATGAGAAATAAGAGCATATGGTTCCCTAAACCAAATGATGGCCATTCATGTTTACTTACCCTTACACTTTGATACTGAGAAACAAGAGTGTTAGAAATATACTATCTCCCAAAAAGAAACTTAAAGAAGAGACTTTAAATGTACATGTGGAGGTGAGATGGGGCAGACCTTCTTAAGCTTCCTCAAATCATCAGAATGCCAGCCAAGAGCTCTCTTTTCCAATGGGGTGCTACCTCACCAAGATGTGGCCAACCACAGCCACTCTGCTATTACTATGACTGAGTCCAGGAGATGGAAGCCAGTGCTCACAAGCTTGTGCCTTCTGCCAGTGTCTTCTTACTCATCAAGCTGTCTGGAGCTGATAGGTCATAACAGGGACATGATCTTTGGTGACTTGAAATGAATAAAACTCCCCCCTCATCTTTACATGCACAGAGGTCACTAACTTTAGTGTGCAAAGGAGTCCTCAGCCCTTAACAGAGAGAGCTTTGTTTAAAATAAATCACAGAAAAATGGAGCTACTTAGCTCATTCCTGGGTGTTACTTCCTTCAGAGAGACCAACAAGAAATCCAGCTGAATGCTTGGACAATTTATCAAACTATGTGCACCTCATAGAACCAGCTTCTAATGTTCTGATCAAAGTCCTCTGAATTGGTTAAAAAAAAAGTCTCTTGTAGATTTAAGTAACACACACACACAAATATGAACAACATACTTATGATGGCAAGCAAACAACTTAAAAACTAGCAATGGCCTGCAAGTTTCATATGTTACAGGTTCAGTAACTACACTTTTGTTCAAAACTTGGTAACTAATAGCTTTATCTCCCTATTAATAATAAACTCGAAAATATTAGCTTACTGAGAAGTAGTAACTTATTGACCATTTAAGCTCATTCCTTCTAGTATTTATTTATACCCATATGCTTTGCAATGAAAGCTAATCAGTTGTTTTTATTAAGAGAAATAGGCAAGGGTTTCAACAAATGATCTTAGGTATCTTTCACCTCTGAAAATCTGTATGAGACATTTCTATTATCTTCTTAATTCCCAATAGTTTTAAGATTCTATCATATGGGGGGCTAGGGAGGGTGGGCTGGAACTCAAAGGAAGAAGAAATGGAGAAATTAATTCAAGAAATGGAGGATTTAAAGGAAGCTGGGGGGGGGTGAAGAGAGATGAATGATTGTTAAGTATCACAGGAAAACAAGGATCATCTCATTTTGCAGACACACTCTCAGGAAAAGTACTCTTGCAAACGGCCACCAACAATGTACACCTTTGTAAGGAAAGAGGAATAAGATTCCCATTTTTTAAAAATGTGGAAGCCCTTCATCATTTCCATATGTTGCTAAAATAAGGTAAAAAAACAAAAACAAAACCCTTTATGTTTCAGCAATATGTTTTCTATAGCTCATATTCATTCAAAATTTGGAGATGGTCTTTACGCATGTTTTTTATGTTCTCAGTGTTTGACATTGAGGTTTTTGGATTTTTCATATTATGTAAAAATCATTTGAACAAACAAAATATCTATAATTTTACCTTCAGTAGAAATTCCTGTAGTTCTTGGTGGGTTTTTGTTACTGTTGTGACTGTAAGATCAGACCAATTTACCTGATTTAAAAAAAACACACATATTATATGGTTATTGTTTAGGCAGGAACAGGCTAGTAAAAAAGCCATATGTAAAACAAAGGCCTTACTTTAAATTTTATTAAGACTAACCATTAGAACTATAAAGTTTATCTAGCATTGTTGTATTTCTAGTTACTCCTTTTAAATTGTACATTGAAAAAGCAGTCATAAAATGTGACCATATTATAGTAATTTTTCAGAAAGATCATAGTTTTGATAATGTTATAGTACTCTAAAATGACACTCTTGACAGTGTATATCCATGCCCCCCCTCCCCCAAAAGACAAAAAAGTTTTGTCTCTAGAAACTTATTAAATATACAAGAGAAACAGTGAGAGTATACTGCTCCTCTTTGGAAGCACCATACCATTTCATATTCTGAGATTGATAGCTTTGAAGAGATTTCATCTTTATCTCAGATCTTTGAAATCCTAGTAAGATGCTTAGTACAAGTATGAATACCTCCATCTCCAGATGGAGAAACTAAAAGCTGAATAAGGTTAACTTACTATGGTATGACCTTAAGGAAGCATAAAAGCCAGTTCTACCTGCTAGATACCTCTGATTTAGTGGACTTGCTACTGAATAATCATGTAAGCTAAATAAATACTTGAGCTAAGCTAAAATGTAGTCCTTACCAACTAATCACACTGTAATTATAATCAAATACTTCAAAAATAAATACACAATTTTATCCAGCAACTCTTTTTATTGACTGGCAACATTTCTTCAATGACTTTTAAATGATCGAATGTTCATTGAGCAGCTACTTGTGTCAGGGGACACAGGAATGGACAAGACAATGAAGTCTCCAAGGCTGTGTTCAGTACAGTGTCAAAGAGAGAGAAAACCCCAATCATCAATGATCAGTGCTTCAAAGACAGTGACTAGGGCATGGAACAAGAGTAGATGGGGTGTCAAGAAGGCCCTCTGAGGAGGAAGGATATGAACTGGATATTTAACTGTGCCTTGCTCCAGGGGAAGGGGACAGTGAGGTCTTAAGGAACAAGCTGTGAGCTCCAGCAACAAAAGGAGAGGCCAGAAAGCCTGGCAAGGTCAAAGAAAGCAAAATATACCACAACTGAGACCCTTGGGAGATTAGGAATTAAACCCTGAAAATCAAGGCTATCTCTCCCTCAGAACAGAAGCCAGAGTATTGAAATTAATTCAGTAAATGTACTGAACAAGTCAGACATGGTTGGAAGCACAGAATGAAAATGCCTGCTCTCACAGGATGGAGGTCTATTTTAAGGGTCTGTGACAGAGAGATGACAGTAGGCCTTGGAAGGAGGAAACATTCTGTCAGAGGGTCAGAAATGACTCCAGAAAAGAGGTAAAACTGGTCAACAATGCCTTTGACTAAGAACTGAAGCGAACTGGCAGAGAAATGTTGCCTCAAACCATGTGGCTTCAGGGTCTATAGTCCAACCTTCAGAAAAAGGACTTGACAGGGAAGCCCCAGCAGGAAGCAGCCAGGAAGATGTGGCAAGGAATCCATGTCATAGTCATCAGGTATAAAGGAAACTGCAAAGTATTATCCCGGTGGTAACAGAATCAGAGCTGGGCTCTACAGTTAATCAGACAGTTGACAGAGAGCAATTACAGATAAGAAGACAAAGCAACAAAGCAACAAAGCATGGACTAAAATTGGTGTAGAGAAAGTACAGGAAAATGTCAGGAAATACAATGCCAACAAAGACAAGACCTGTGGTCTTGATTTTACAAATATCGATGAAAGTGTATGCTTTTACTCTTAAAGCTGTATCTTAGGACTTAATCCCTAAATCTACGGCTCTTATTTCTTTTTAATAATATGATACAACTTAAAAAAACAAAAACAAAACTTCACATGCCAGCCACTGGCATCTCATGCCTGTAGTCCTAGCTACTTGGGAGGCTGAGATTGGGAATATCATGGTTTGAAGCCAGCCTGGGTAAATATTTTGCAAGACCCTATCTCCAAAATAACCAGAGCAAATGGTCTGGAGATATGACTCAAATGATAGAGCGCCTGCTTTGTAAGCACAAAGTCCTTAGTTTAAACCTCAGTCAAGCCAAAATAATAATAATAGAAAAAAGATAAAAAAAACTTGGCAAACCATGTAGTGTTATTCTTAAAGCAGTTCATTCTTAAAGCCCTTCATTATAAACATACACATATACATATATAGTTTTTCCCCTTGAATTAGCAGACCTGGCATAAGCTCTTCCAAAGATCAAGATCATGTAATGTGGTACATGAGAGATCTTTTGCGGGTGAGAATAGCTTACTTTGAAAGTGTATTCCCAATATTTGTCAGCCCTTTTTCTCTGTACTCCTTTCAACATTATCTTCTCGATGTGTACAGCTGAAAGACAAAACAAAATGCTGACTTGTGCTACCGAGATTAGACATATACTTCTGTCACTTAAAGTAATCCTGTAATTTGACAAATGCTTAGTAAGTAAGCTATTTACTTGACCTTTCCTACTGGTCTTAAATCAGGAAATACAACAAACTGAAGCATATTACTATGCCATTCATATACAAAGTAGTCTTTTGTATATGCATTCAACATGCTGAGTGCCTGAGGAGTATGAAACACTTTGCTAACACCAAAGATTTAAAAAAAAGACAAATAATAAAAGCTGCTTGCATGGAAGACAGAGATTTTCTAAAGGATAATCTTGTAAACTGCTATCCAGATTACCATAAATACAGCATGTTAGGATCAACTAGATATGATTCATTCAATTATTTATACATGATAGGTATAAACTAGAAACTATCTAGTTTTATCTTTACCTAAAAAACTACTCAAGAATAATATAACATGACACAAACATTGCATGCACATATGAATAAACAAAACAAAAAAAGAAGAGATGACATAAGACAAAGACAAAAAAAGAATATAACAAGCTGACAAAATTCTTATCTAACTGGTAAATTTAATTTTTCTCAAGTATGATCCTTAATATCATACAACAGTATACAAACTGAACATTATAATGAACTGTAAAGATTCACTGTAGCAAAATTTATTTTATTACAGACATAAAGTAGGAGACCTAAGAGACATTAAACTTACTCTGAATTCAACTAGATACTCAGTTTATTCATAATGTAAGCAAATATACACCCCCCCCAACTACTAATGTCACACCTCCTTTGGTAATAGTGTCTACTTTAGCAAATAAATCAAACTGAAAAAAAAAAAAGCCAATCTACTGACTGTAAGAAAAGGACTTAAGAAGAACAGACTGGTGATCAGGACATAAACAGAAGAAGAGAGTACTTACTCAATAGAGTCTGCGGTTTCCAAAAGGTGTTATATTAAATTACTTAAAGGGTGATGCTATTAAATAAACTTACTGAACTAAAATGTGTTCAGAAACAAAGCAGCTCTACCTCTGCAAATCACTGGGCTTCAGTGGTGGGGAAATCTTGGGGTTTTTTCTCGGAGGGGGAGGGGTACGGGGCAGAGCATATCCCAGTTCAGCTTAGCAGAAAGTCATTTCAGGACATGGAACAATGGTTGTAGCTTCAGCCTGGATTTCAAGTTAAAATCTATTATCTACCAGCATCAAGATAAGACATGAGAATATGTGGGAAGGAATGACTAATGAGAGTACCTTAATCCTCATAAATGAAAACTAAATAGCATGTATTACATATTTTTTTAAAGTTAGGAATGTAAGAAAAAGTAACTATAGAACTTACAGTTAAGTGTTAGCATTTTTATATAGTTCTTGTATTTTTCTAAAGTATTTTAATTAAACAAAAGAACCTTCATTATAAAACCAAACTCTGATTTTGGCTATTCATATGTTTGATAAGCTAAACTGAAGTAATCTATGATTAAATCAGTTTAGTTGGAGCAACAGGAATACTGTGATTGTCTTGAACAGAAGTGGTAATTATATAAATGGCTTTCATCACTAAACATTCATACCTATTTTTCCTCTAAGGAAAAACTATATCACACAAAAAGGATCATTACTGAGACTAAATGGAGACATACTTTGCGAATTCAAAGTTGTTATAACCCAGTAAGAGGTTACCCTATCCTTAGCTCTTCTAGAGCCTAAATGGTAGGGTACATTTTCTGTTTCAATTTTTCTCCCATGACAGGCTAATGAACTCCCCAAACGCAAGGAGAGAGGATGATCTGAGCTGATTTCTTTAGAGATGGCAAAGTCCTTTCATTTTTCTATCCCAATCCTCTTAAACACAGCTTACTGCAGGAAAAATAACTTGTAGGCAATTAATTCACTCTCTTACAGTGAACTTTCGTAAAATTTATTTATTCAGAACATAGTACATTCTATAGGTAAAGTGCTACACTAAATACTTTGTGGCTAGGATAACGTCTTTGTCCTACAAAAGGACACAACCAGCTTTAAGATACAGTCAAAAAGACAAGTGTCTATGGACAGAAAAGATAAGTGTGTGCTAGGACAAGACAGGGTTGTAGGGAAGGGAGAAGCTCAGAATGCAGATGGCAGAACTGGGATCACTAGCTTCTGAGCACAACCTAGGACCAGTAAAGCTTCTGTAAAAAGGAGAGTGTAGAGTCAATCACTGTGAACCGTACCCTGCTTTAAGTCCACAACAAATACAGCGTACCTTCTCGCTGAGCTCTGTGAGGAGCCACAGTAAGTCCATCCTGAGGTATTGTGGCTTGTTCTACTAAACCAGTCTCATTACTTTGCATATAATCACCATGACCAGAGTCATTCTAGAGAAAAAAGAAGAGTATACATTAATCTATACCACAAGGTAAGAAAGCCCGCAAACATAAACCAGAGTAAAGTCTTAGAGTTCTAATATTCATTTTAATAGCAGTTTTTTAGAGATCAAGTGAGTGATTACATACTAAGACCACATAGTGTCACAATCACAAGTAAAAGGAGACCTATCAATGTTTATATTCATTTAACAGTAATAGTCTATCAATTTTTCACATTTCCAGCTGTCTTGGAACAAGAAAAAACTTGTATGTTGCTATTCAGAGTTGCTAAATGATGTCAGTTCTATACCACAGTAAACTAGAGTCAAAGTGACATATATAATAAATGGTATACCTTATGCTAATCCCCCAAAGATAAGCGTACTGGTACTTTTTCCATTAATCGTTTCTTAAGTTTCACTCATTACTTGGCTTTATTGACAATCTAACAGGACACTGTCTTAGGAAAAAGTTTTACAAGGTTATCATCAACACACATCAAATCTTTCTAAACAAGAATGTATATGGACAGTGAGTATACTATTAAAGGCAAGATATTTAATAGCAACCAGAAACTCTAAACCTAATTGACTTTACTTATCCAGTCATTAGTGAACTATAGTTTTACACCTTGGAAATCAGCTATTTGGAGTAATAAAGAGCTTGCCAATCTTACAGCTTTCCAGAATTAAAGCAGTGCCATGCTACATGTTGTTATCGTAACACATTGATTAAGTCAAAAAAAAAAAAAAGAAAATAGCTCTATATTAGTTTTCTATCACAACTTATAACTTATTCCCCTCTTCCCACTCAGAACCTCACACACTCATTCAATTTCAAGAACCAATCACAATTCTATAAACCCACAGCTAATAACATACTTCAATTTTAATTTGTATAAAGAAATGACATGATTAGAGGACGTTAAATTTCCTGGGGATTCATTTAAGATGTTTTGCTCTGGTGTTTAAATCACACATTCTAGTCTGATGATGAGTATGGGTGCACTCACTTGTGGGGAGCACTTCAGACTTAGTGTCTGTCTTCTAGAAACTCAAGGAAATAGACAATCTACAAAGAACTACTAAAGAAGGAGAGCACAGATTTCTTCAGTAAACTCTGAAACATTTAGTCTAATGGCATTTACCAACTAACGACATGACTCATTTAAAAAATGTGAGTATGAGGCTGGGCACAGTGGTCAACCCTGCAATCCAGGACTTGAAAGGCTGAGGCAGAAGGATCATGAATTTGAAGACAATTTCCGCACCCTCCCCCCAAAAGTGTATATGAATTCTTTTAACAATAACCAAATTACATATATCCCAATCCAGGTCATATAATCTTTCCTTACAAAGTACTAAGACCACATTTGCCTAAGAGAGATTCTGCTTCTCAAAATTTTAACACTATTCTTAGTACTTCAAATATCAGCAGGAAAACAGAGCTGGGGGTGTAGCTCAGTGGTAGAGCACCTCTTTAACATGCCAGAGGTCCTGGGTTCCAACCCCAGCACAACAACTTCCCCAAAAATGCTAAAATAAAAGTGATATAATCCTTTTAAATAGGTATGTTAGTTGAAAGAAGCTTATGGAATAGCTTTAATAATTTGTTTTTTGTTTTTTTTTTTGGCAGCTCTGGGCCTTGTACTTGCTAGACAGGCACACTACCACTTGAGCCATGCGTCCAAGTCCTTTTTTGCTTTAGTTACTTTTCAGGTAGGGTCTTAGTTTTTGCCTTAGAATGGCCTCAGACCATCACCTTCTTACCCATAATCCCCCTCAGAGATGGGATTACAGGCATGTGCCACTTCTGGTTTATTGATTTAGATGGGGGAATCTCACTGAAGTTTCTGCCCAGGGTAGTCCTGAACACCAGTCTCCCAATCTCTGCCTCCCAGGTAGCTGGGATTATAGGCATGAACCATCATATCCAGGAAAAATTTTTTACAGTGGACTATTTTTCTACATTCTGAAATGTGACTTGCAAATTAAAAATTACACTTTTGAATATAAATGCAAAAGTATGCAAAAATAAGTTTCATTAGGGAAATGCAAATTAAAACCACAATGAGGTATCACTTTACACCCATTAAGATGGTTATTATCTTAAATAGAAATCAAGTGGTGTTGATGAAGATGTGGTATACTCAGTGCCACTGAACTGTACACTCAAAAAGGGATAACAAGACAAATTTTGTTATGTATATTTAGCATAATAAATTAACCATATTGCTTCCACAAATATTATTATATTGAAGGAATCATGAGAAAGTAGTTTGCTTCACAATCAAAGTCACAGTTTTCAAGTCTGAAGTTAACTTTAAGAACACAATTTGCTGGGCATGGTGGCACATGACTGTAACTCCAGCTACTCAGGAAGTTGAAGCAAGACAATCCCAAGCTCGCTCAAGGCCAGCCTGGGAAACTTAGTAAGATCCTGTCTCAAAATAAAGTAAAAAAGGACTGGGAATGTTAGTTCAGTGGTACAGTGCTAGCTAGCCTATTATGCATGGGACACTGGGTTCAGTTCCTAGTACTGAGGGGTAAAGAAAGAAAGAAAAAAAAAAAGACACAATTTATCCTGTTTAATAAGCTAAAGAGAAAAATACTTGGGTTTCTATCCAAGGGCCTAAGTTTTTCAACCCATGAAATATCTACCAATTGCTCCCTTTTGTCCTCAAGTCTCAGTAGGTACATATACCATTCAGATCAAATTTAGAAGCTATTTATAAAATTCATATAGGTTACAGGGATCAGCTCCCAAAATGAGTGGCTGTCAGTAATGCTCTCTCTTTTTACATGACATTCAATACGAAGAAGGGTGCCACAAAATCTGAGAACTACTAAGTTGATGGAATTGTATAGAGAATTATACCTACTTTCTCAGTTAAGTTCAGATTCCCATCTTTACAGAAAAGGGAAGAAGCCAACAAGAATTTAAGAATTATTTATTGCCTTTTATTTAACCAAGAAGATGTAGAGAAAAGGTATAAATTGGTCTAATCTCTACTTAATACAATAGGACAACTCAACCCAAAGATAATGCCTTGAGAATCACCCCAGAGCATCTAATAAAAGACAAGTTCTGGAGTGAGAAGAAATATGCTTGGTAATGCATTAAAATTGCACTGGAACAACAAAATTGACACGGCAGTTTAGAGAAGACCAATGAATCAATAGCTCAGAAGCAGCATGAAACGGTGTATTAGGTGATTCAGCCAGGGGAGTGTGGCTTAACTAGCCACCTTAAAGTTTGGGCAAATGCACACTAGCCATTGAATGGGGAGTGGAAATATAATTTACTGAGTCTGCATATACTCTGCCATCACAGCCTACAGATCAGACATGGCCATGACAACTATGCAAGTCCCCAGCATCACAGCTGAGAACTAACCATGGTTAGCTAAGCTAAGCAGAACTGGAATAAGATGGGGCAAGAAAAAAATCACACACAGACACATTCTGTATATTATGGAACTCTATGCATTTATTACTAATTAAAATTTTTAATTGTTGGTATCATTATCTTTAGGGAGGATCTCAACTTCTAGGTTGCACCATTAAGACTTAGCAAAATAATGATGATAAAGAAGCCTCCTAGGGAGAAGGGAAGTGGACAGTGGAGAAGTGAGGGCAGCAGTTTTTACTCAAGTATTGGCCTTGATATTCTCCTTGTAAAACTCTCCATGATTCTGTTCCTTCAACCCAAATAGTGCCATCTATTATTGACAGGTGGATTAGTAAAAAATACAGATTGTACTAAACCTCAAAAAGGACAAAAAGACAGGATCCAGAGAGGGGCACTTTTCCCTTCTGCTCTCCCCATAGAAAAGAAAAACTCTCTCACCAGAGGAATAAAGTTTAACCAGGAACTACTAGACCCCATGGGCCACTAATCTTTAAATCCCCATACCAGAATGATTTGGGTGAGGTGTCAAGAATGTACCCATGAATTTGAGTGCACATCAGTCTTTCTATCTGCCTTCACCTTCACAACCTCACACCAAGCAATAGGAGAATGATGAGGCCAAAGTGTTCTTTGCAGGAAGAGAGCTGGGCTCAGGTATGATAGCCCAGGTACCTTTTAGCTTCTGTAGCAGAGTCACAGCCTTCACCCTCACTGTAGAAACATCCTTGGGAGCACATCTAAGTTTAAGCTTACGGAATTTAAAAAGGACTGTTGACAATAAGTAACATATAGTGTTGGTAAGTATTTATAGTATTGGATAACACTGCATTAGAATTGGCATTTAATGGCACCTGACAAAACAGGCACTTTCCCCCAAGCTAACCAAATCAACTCCCCAAACCAACAAAACTACTCAATTCACTATGTTATTGGGGAATGTCTTTGTACGCAGAATGGCCTCTTTCCCAAGGAAGTGCTCCTTTGGATGCATGCAACCACACTGTCCTCTCTAGGACCTCTAGAACAAAAATCAATTATACTGTGGGAAACTATCCCAATTTAGGCAGTCTTAACAAGAAGCATAAAAATTCCCCAACACATACTTTATAGACTGCTCATTTCAGTGACCAACATAAGTTTTAATCTTTCTAACCACAAGCAAAGTACTATCTCTGCCCATATCTCATTCCTACCACCTTTCATACAAATCATATACTGGAAATCAAACACTGAGCAAGGCTCCGTACAGTCACCTACACAAGCAATAATAAAACAGTTTGTAATTTATGACTTCTCCATCCTGTCAAAACATCAGTCAGGTTTATACCAATTTATGCACCCCACACATAAAAGGGTAATGAAGGAGTACAAATGACCTTCTTTTTAAAGAGTATTTAACAAGCACGACTATTCAGCATTCACCAATCGAAGACTCATTGCAGATCTGTACTGCTGCATGCTTTTTAATTAAAGAAACAATTCCTTTCATTATTTCTGAAACAATTGAAACTATACTATGTAGCACCAAATAGTTTTATAAAGTACCTAGGTAAGTATAATTCAAAATAACACAAAAAAAATCACTGCCTAATTCACTT